CCTTTGCATGTGATTTATACAAATTTAATTGATCTTAATTGGATTTACTATTACCTTGTATATGATTGAAACAAAATATTTAAAATTAAAAATGCAAAATCTAATTTTTCATATCCTTCCATAAATGTAAAATCGATTTATATTCTCAACGGTCTTTTCAATTTCTACGCAAATTTTCAACAAGTGAAAATGTAAGAAATTAATAAATTAAAATTTTATCTTATTCTAAACATTATTATTATTATTATTTTGAACATTTAGGTCAATTCATGCAAACTCACATTGATATGTTGGTTGAAGTTCTAAGGCAAACTCACATTGATATGTTGGTTGAAGTTCTAAGCTCTTTTATTTTTTAAATACATATTTGATATTGTGATAGAACACATCCTATAGAACACAGTCTTATAATTAGAATTATCATTAAAAAACTAGCAATAACTTTTTTCTGTTGAAGAATGTTGTTGCGGTCTCATTGGAGTATTGTGGCGGTTAGACTAAATATATATTTAACGTCTTAGCCTTTTGTATAAAATCCCAGCACACAAAACAAATTAGAGATGACGGGTGTAGCATTCATAAGAGACAAGAGTGTTTCTACGTGGAAACCCTTAAAAATGGTTGATATGCATTCATAAATTTAGTACGCTAGGATTGGGTCAAATTTGGTGTGGTTGGGTTCGTATTTCCGAAGAACGTTCAATTCGACTATAATTGTTTGAAATCAGATATTCGGAATGGTTCTCAATTTTAGTTTTTGGAGAAGTTTCCAAAACTTGATTTTGCATCGAGCATTGTGCCCGAATCAAGATAATTTTTTGATAATGCATCATGTATTGCAATGATCATTAAAGATGGATAAAAAGAAATCTAACATAAAAAAATGACTAACAAATGAAACGACATTTCAAATCTCTTCACATCAATTTTATAGATATAACATAATCAATTAGGTAGCTTCCAGATGCAAATATCATTTTAATAATTACCAAGTTAATATTTATGCATACATTTCTCAGTCTGGATAATTTATTGATTAATCATATAATAAATTAACATATTTTCAAATTTATAGATTTTGTGACTTGGCATTTTGCAATGATATGTGTCTTTCAATATTATTCAATCTTATCATCAAAGAATACATATCATCTTTTAAAATTTATTCTTATTTGTTTATCATTAAAAGGAGACAAATATTCTAGATAATATTAAATAAATCTATTTTAAAGTAAACAATGATAAAATCTATTTAGTTTTTTTTATTTTTTAAATTATTTTTATTTGAATTTAGAAAGTTCTAAAGACACTTTTACACTTAGAAAATAATTTAAATATAATTAAAGAATAGTATTCAATAACTCTATTTTCTTTTGGAAAAACTCTATCTATGACGAGAATACTCCCTTTTTAAATTTGGCCAATTCTTATAAAGTCATCTCCTATAACTAAACCACAATCTCTTATATAAGTTTATACCTATCCACCTTAATATAGAATTAATAGATAAGAATAGTTCTCCCATCAATATATTACTTATGTTACCTATATTTTAACTATTAAAACCCAAATTGTAATGGATATATTAATAATTTGATATCACGCAAGCAAATTTTGGCATCCCTTATTATCATTCCCTTTATTTTATTATTTATATAATGAACAGAGAATAATTCATATGCGATAAGTCTCTGTTGGGGATACCACAATTTTGTAATGTTTAGCTTTAAGACTGTTACCATGTTTCTATTGATTACTATTTTATGGACATTTTAGTGTGCTTCGTTTGGCGACGCGGCCTACTTCTTTAACTATTTTTTAAACGGGAGTTCTAGTTCAAAATTTTGGAATTTGCATACTAGAACTCCGTTTAAAAAAGTACTAAAAAAGCCGTCCCAAATGAAGCCCTCTCAAATATTAATAATATAGTATATCACAGCTTACCTACTTAACATATATATATCATATTATAAACTGCTGTTCTTAGCAGCTTAAAATAACTATCCATTTTCGTCTAATGAACAGCAATGTTTACCAAATATAAGAAAGCAGTCTCAAACAAAAACATAAGTTTAGTACAAGGACCCATTCGGCTACACCAAAATATAAATGAAGAGTTTCTTATACCTAGAACAGGTTGATATATCAAGAGACGTAACAAGGAACCACCATTTCGATAACAATAGATTCGATTGAAGAACATGGTCATTGACGCATATGAAATACCACAAAACAATTAGTATTCGTTTATTATACCACTATTAATCACTTTCATTATGATATTATCCATCCTTACCTCTTTTTGATATTATCCACTTAAGGATAGTACACATAACTTCTTCACTGCAAATCTCATGAACTAACTAAAAACTTCTCACTTAAACCATATCTCTCTCATTATTATAAGAAATTATAATTATTAATACATTATATCTGTAATTATCATGTGTCCAATATATTATCATTTCAATTTAAAAACTTGGAAGATCATGCTTTATATTATAATTAGGACATAAGACTAGTTATAAATTTATGTTTAATTAATCTATATATGCTAAATCTAACTCATTAGTGTCAATCAATGGAAAATTTATTCCATTTTAAATCAATTTTTCACCGAGCTCCATTTATGAATTCATTTGGGATGATTTTCTTAATTACTACTTCGTAAAACTGTTTTGTTGTAGGAAAATCAATTAACAATAGCGAAAAAACTATGGTCTAAAAATGCCTCAAATGAAACCTAAGTCAAAACTTAATCCAATTTTTAAGTAATATGTTCCATTTGGAATTAGGGGTGTCAATATTTGACACGACCCGAAAACTCAACTCGAACCCGACTCAAAAATTTTGGGTTAGGGTCAACCCGAACCCGAAATGGGTCGGGTTTGGGTTCAACATTTCAACCTGTTTAAAAAATTGGATTGTGTTCGGGTTAACCCTTTGACTCTAAATTGACTAAATTTTGACCCAAAAACCCGATTTTGACCCGGTTTTGACCCGCAAAGAGGAGATTGACCCGTTTTTGACCCAAAAAGTTGTAATTTTCTTGTTGAAAATAGGTCATTCGGGTCGGGTCGGGTTCGAGTCTGGAAAACCGACCCATTTTTAAAAACTGTTCAGTTCGGGTTGACTCGAATAGTGCCGGGTCATTTTCGGATTCGACCCGAACCCGACCCGTGACCCGAAATTGACACCCCTATTTGGAATAGGATTAAGGACTAATTACAAGTTTATTAATCAATTAAGAAGTCCAATGGCATCTAATTACAAAGAAAAGCCTTTTTTAAAGAAGATTCTCTCTATAGCCAGCCACATGAATTCATGAACCTAGATCTAAATCCCAAGAAAAAAAAAATTTAATTCATTAGAATTAAAAGATTCCAATTTGTTTACGTGAAGACAAACTAAGCCAACTGTCAGCTTATCCTGAAGATCACTTTGTCAATTATATGGCTTTAAAATTTGGGAAAAGAATCTGCAAATCTATGGGGCTGATTGATTGTTTAATAAATAAATAAATCTTTATGAATT